GAACGTGACTGTGGTGACATTCATCTCAGCTTCCGCAACGCAATTCACCAACAGTAGGGATGTTTCGTCCGTAAATATCGATGTTAGCATCGATGTTTTTGCTAGAAAAGTGAAAAACATCGACATCGTTCATTCGTTACGTTCGTATTCTACCGAACGACCAGAGCCAAGCGAGAGCTTGTTCTCGGAAGCTGGTGCAACCATCAATCAGGATAGAAATAGGCCTTGGGGACTAGATTAGCAAAGCTTCTTTTCTTGCGCATTTTATTCTACAAGAAATAAACTTTTATATGGTAAAAATGGCAAAAGGCCGCCAGCAAAAAAAAACATTGAAAATCAAAGCGATATTTTAGCCACTTAAAATGTGCTGATCGAACACGCTTTCAAACAGAGTTCATCCCGGTGCCACCCTGTTAGTTCATTTGTCAATTCTTGATTCTGGATATTAGCTATAATTTTATCACAAAGCTTAGCCTAAATGTAATTTCAAGAACTAGTTGAATGTTTTACTTCATACAAAGTTGCATAGGACAACCGTTTGGACAAATCTCACTCACTCAAATGCACTCTTAACACGTTCCAACAACTCTTAGCTCGCATTCAAAATGTGATTTATGGTGGCACGGTTAAAAGTTTCAATTCGATTTAAGAACGTGTTTACATGTGTGTGTCCAAACAACATGGTTTGACATAGAACGAACTGAAGCATCACATAAACAATATTAAAATGTGCATTTTTCAATTGAAAAAATGTGTTTCTTTTTTAAATTAATTTTATTAAAACCGCTGGGATATGTAAATTTTGATGTTTAGGTACATTTTATGGCTACATTTTAATTCGTGTAGTAGATGAGAAATTGATACATCGGGAAAACATCGATGTATCGTTTTTATAACCGAGGTTTTTTAACATCGATTGTTTTTGTGGAAACATCGATTTTTTTCAAACATCGACGTTTTCACTTATGAACGAGGTTACATCCCTAACAAACAGTCGTCATGTTTCTGTTTGTAAAGGAGCGAAAATTAAACACAATTCGTCTATTTGTTCCATAAAGTCAACATTGTATGTACTTATGTATGTATGTATGTATGTTAGCAAGCTTTAATATACATGCTTATGTATGTGCATATAAATATGTCCATACACTTTTCTATAGCGTCTATGGCAAGTTGAGTTTTGGAATATTCGAGTTCTGATTGTGCAGGCATACCCAAGCAAAGCTGATCGTGTTTAAGGCCGAACAAATGATTATAATTAGAGCAACGCTTTGATTGCGTCTATTCTGAAGTTGAAAAAAGCCGGCTGACTCTCCGGCTGGAATCTTGGGTGATTAGTTTATCATTTAAGGCATGCATAATTCAAATTTGTATGAACCTAAGTATGTACATATGTATATACATATTTACATACAGATACATACTAAAATAAATGAGTTCAAATACAAATACGAGTACAATATATTTTTCACTTTTTCATTCTTAATTTATTAATTTTACTTATACATTATACGTACGTACATATGTATGTATGCATGTATGCAGTTGGAATGGAGACGATTATTGGGACACCAAAAGCGACCTAAAAGAATAATATGTACATATGTATGTATTATATTTCCTAGTTTGGGTTTTTAAATAAGCTCATTAATAGCTAGTTAATGTACATATGTGAGTACATAAATATATTTGAAAAAGTAAAGTCGGAAATTTTATGCTCTCACCACCTAGGATTATTCTATACCCAAAAAAATTGCCCCTATTTTTTTATTTTGAAAACAAAAATATTTAGAGATCGCTCAAAGCGCCCAAAGTTTTCCATGGGAAAAGACAAATTTTCATAGAAATGGTATAGAATAGTTAAAAATCAATATTTTTCTACCAGACAACTATGTTTTTTTGCACGAGATTCCCAATAATAATTGTTCATTTAACCATTTTTTCATCGCAACTATAATTTATAGGTCCGCCAAAAACCCGCAGAAATCCCGAAAAATGCAATGGGGCGACCAAGAAAAAATCGTTAGTTTTAAAATAAGGTTAAATAAACAATTAAATATTATAATTGAAAGTATCCTGAAGAGAACCAGAGTTTTCGGATTTAAAAATATACAGGCATGTTCTGAAATTCGAAACTTTGAAATCGACTCGATTTGCCAAATATTTTTTAATTATATCTGATGAAAAGAGTGAATATTCCAATTGAAAACCGTAAAAGAAGTAGCAGCGATATGAAATACATAATTTTAATGCGAGACTTTTAAATTTTTGGGTTAAAAACCTTCGAAAAAATTATCGAAATCGGGTCGATTTCAAATTTTGGAATTTCAGAACATGCCTGATAGTTTTTCAAGAATTCTATACCACTTCTACGAGAAATTTTATTTTCCCATATAAAATTGCATGGGAAACTTTGAGCGCTTTGAGCGACCTCTAAATATTTTTTGATTTCAAAACAAAAAAAATAGTAGTACACTTTTTTTCAATATGGCCCAATCCTAGGGGGTTGGAGCATTACAATTCCGACTTTACTCTTTTTGGACCACCCTAATGTACATACATAATTCTGCTGGTACAATATATGTGCATAGAATTTATTATCGGTGCATGAGAAAACAAGACATAACATCCGCAAGTTGAGATATTGTATATTCCAGAAGTTTTACGCCAAGAAAATACCTAATTTGTTTCCTAAAGACCACTTGTCTTCTTATCATTAAAATTGTGATTTCTACTCTTCTACATGCTTCGCTTTAGTATTTATCGGCATCGTACATTTTTTTAAAGAAATAATTAGACTTCTCGAATTCTTTGCGGCCTTATTCAATTCGTTCTTTCAGTTTTAGTTACACCTTGCCAAATTTCAAGGCGAATTTATATAAGGTATCCATTTTCATATTTTTTTTTCCAAAATACTTTTCCTAGATGAATTTTTTATTAAAAGTAAATGAACTAGCAAGTATTAAGCACGTTTTTACGTTTTTTTTTTTCCATACCGACATAAAAAATTTAAGGCTTGTTTTTTATAATAGTATTTTGGTTTCGTTGAAACTCACTTTCTTTTTTGAAAAAAAAGAGTTTTTAATTTATAAACAAGAAACTGGAAACTACACACGTTTTTTGCAAGTAATTTTGACAGCATATTATTCATACGAGTCTTAACTAGTGATGCAGAAAAAATATCGATGCATCGGAAACATCGATGTTTGCTATTCGATGCATCGAATGAAACCGATGTTTTGGACCTTTCGATATATATCGATATATCGGTTTATTTTTTTTTTTCGATGCATCGACTTTTGGTGCAATGTACAATGTTCAAATTAAAATTAGTTTGTATGCTTCCAAACTCTATGCTCTTGTAACTATTCTAAATTTGGAAATTTCACTATTTATGTACTATTAGAACATACATTCCATTAATATTATGCAAAAGGTATAAGTTATTTGCACTAATAAATTGCTAATTTATTTGTAGAAACGTTTAGTTCCAAAAAACCGTCTACAAAAGAATATTAATTGATATGATATTGACCTTTTGGAAATTTGGGCAGATTTTAAGCAGCAATTTCCAAAATTGATTCACATGGCTTATAAATAAAGTGAAATAATATAAAGGATGTACGATTATTTCAAAGCAAAATTTGAGTTCGTCATTTTCGCTTTTTTCCAGGGACCGTAAACAACAGTTACTTTTTTTCAACAGCTAAACTTGGCCAGATATTTTTAAGTCGAAAATAAAAGTTATTTCCCAATAATAAACAAGCCGCTTATCCGAATTAAACAAGTTTTGTATCAACTGAAAGAGGACTAAAATAGCTTTAAAGCTGAAATATATAAACGAGGAAAATATTTAAATAAAAAAATGTTTTTTAATTACCATAGAACATACCTTGGGTCAGGTATATGCATTTCTTTTGTATTAAACTATAAAAAAATATAAATAGAAGTGGTAGCCTTCGATCGTTATTTCTGTTTAAAAGCTATTTAAGTCCTCATTCATTTGGTACCAAATTTGTTTAATTTGGAGAAGCGGTTTGTTTACTATCCGGAAAGACTTTTATTTCGAACTTAAAAATTATCTGGCCAAATTTGAGGGGAAATTATGCACCTTATAATCCTCTGTTGCAATGATCCGTATATATACGATATGCCCTATTTTCGCTGACTGACTGCCGGACTAACTTTTTCTACATACTCATTCAGCTTCTTTAAACGATGTTTTTGTTGCCTTACGACATTGTTTTTACATTCTATGTCTTATTTTCGTTTGACTACAAACAGTTTTTTCTAGATATGATTTTAGCTTTAAACCGACTTCAAAAAAGGAGCAGGTTATCAATTCGTCGAAATATTTTTATTTTTTATATATACAATTTTTCGAGCTAAGCAATTTTTTATGTCTGATTACGGCAGAACTCCACAGGCAAAAACCGATGGCCTACGAACTGTCATTTTGACGAGCAATACGATTGCAAGTTTGCAAGTTTTTGTTTGTGGGCACTTTGAGGTCTTGAAATAAGCATTTGCCGCATGACGCCACCAGACAACATTCTCTCAATTTCGGTGTTTAAAAACATTTAAATCTTAAAAAAAAACTTGCTGAATAATTTCCTAAAACGTAATCATAAATAATCCAATAGGGAACAGATTTTTATTTTGATTTAATATCAAAATTTCATCAATGTTACCACCAGCACCCTTTCTTTCAAATGAAAATATGGCTGTCAAACTATCGAATTGCCTGCAATAGATGTCAAGCAATAAGCGCTGACATATGTACATATATTGCAGCCCATGAGAAATTGGCGGTCTCCATGGGAAATATATTTTGTGACATGGTTATCACGACATCAGTGTTTTCCGGTGGAGACAGGGCCTTACCCCCTCGTTTTCTTTTTTTTTTATTGGAAAGGTATGAACGTACATACATATGTCCATATATACATAAGGCGCAAGAATCTACAGAGATGTAATTGTCTTTTGAATGCAAAACTTACCACTAGCGCAGCTAATAAGTCAGTTTTTGTTATTTGTGTTTTTGGGATGTCATCCAGCCCACCAGCCAAATATTGCACTCCGTTTCTAATGAGAAACTGAATTCACATAGACGAAGCTTAAGTTTGTATAATTTTTTGATAACAAAAGTTAAAAGAATATTTCCGTAAACAAATCGATTAGAACTTGCCCCTTTTTTATATGTATATATGTATGTACATACTATACATACATATGTAAGTATATTTGCAGTTGTTTTTTCGCGTTTACATTGATTGTGTTATTCGCTTCTACAACGCGCCGGATAAATTCTGTTTACACATACTTTTCTCGTACCTAAAATTACTTTTTGGCTCCTTTCTTCGACTTTCGTTGTGCTCTCAATCTCACTTTTCTTCTTCTATGTACAAATGTAGCTCTCCTTGCACGCTGTTCGCTGGTCTTGCTGTAGTTATTATCTTTGGTTTGGATATCGCCTTCTGGCTAACGCGTTGCACTTTGTCGAAGTTAAGTGGAAGATTTGCCTCCGATTTCAAGAATGCTCTTGGATCACAAAAAATATAACTATGTATGTACTTATTATCACATTCAGCACACTCGCGTTTATTCACCCTTCAATGCAATCTACAAATTGCCGACGGACTGTCGTCCCACACAAAATCGATGCAAATGTTTAATTTTCCGTAAGCGTGAAATTTTCCTTTCCTGTGATTGCGCACTTGTTGGAAACGGTCCGGCCACGAATCTTTTACTAATTTCCACTTGGACTGTGTGCCGCATCGCGCACTGGCTTTTATTTAAGTTGCAGAGATTCACTAAACACATTTAATGTATGGTGAATTCAAAAACCGAAATTCTCTCCGGTGCGAAGCGGAACTCCCCACATTTCCACAATGAAAGAGAAATATCTGTTGTCATAAGCAATAACCGTCTAAGTCGACTTAAGAAAGAATTGAGTTATACATGCTATCGTTTTCTGCAACTACTTTTCCATGTGTATGTGAAACTCACATATCGTTGTCTAGGCTATTTAAAAAGTTATAAATGAAAATATTTAGGTTTCTCTATACGGTTAATATTACAATTCAAATCTTTAAATCGTTTTTTCCCGAATTCAGGTTTTCGACTGAGGCGATTATTGCTTTTGACCACAGATATGTACATACACTTGGGCGTACATATATACCCACATGCACATATGTATGTATATATGAATGTGAAATGAATAGAGCTGTTTTAATAACAGAGATAAAACCTGAGGGGACTACTGTAAAATATTAAGTACTTGTAAGCAACTGAGATTATTTCTTCAATGAATGGCACTACCAAGCAATTAAAAAAAAATAAGTTTTAAATATTCTAAATATATACTTGCCATCGGCCATAATAAAGGTTGGTGGGACAGTTTCGATAAATAGTCGAATGCAACTCTGCAACATCCGCTCTCGCGCTGTTTTTAGAAACGATAGGTGAACAGTGTTGATGTTTTGAGATACATACACTTACCTAATAGGTACGTTACAGAAAGCGTACCTTATACATTCATAACACACGCCAATAAATTAAAAAAAAAAATGTTTTAGGCACGGAAACTGAGTCCTGATCATTATAGGATTTTTTTCGTAGATTCAGAATCTGAAATTCGAAATATTAGATTGGTTCCACTTTTTGAGATATTTCGCTTTAAAATTATCTAAGTTTTGGCATTTTTTAGACATCTATAATGGAATACGGGGTCTGGTAGAATCTTTTGAATAAGATGTAAAAACAGCTAAACATTGCTCTTTTAGCACAAAAGTTAAAATTTGATTTTTATAAACGTAAGCTACAAAAACAAGTTTTAAAAAATATAAACAGCAAGTAACTGTAATATGAAATTTTCTCAGTTATTTTGAAATTTCTAATGTAGACACCTTTAAATGAAATTTCTAAGGTCAGAATCTGATTCTGCGTACTAAATCCTATAAGAATCAGCTCTTATTAACTGTTATTAACTTATTAAAGTTTTGTTGGCCATATAGAATAAAATTTTTATATTTTTAAGGAATTTACTTTATTTTAATAAAGAAATAAGTTCAAATAATTATATAATTACGCAGTAATTGATACGGAATTCATATGGTAAATCAACGACAGTATACTGACTAAGGACTCCTACTGTGAGCTGCATATTGGTAAACGTTCCGACGAGGTCAAATATTGAGGATTTATGGCTTAGTTATAACTTCTACCTAGATAAAGCCCCCTATTTTGTTGAAAACGAAGTGATCCAAACATATTCTGTATTAATGCCTGATCTTGGTCGGGCTAAGTCTGAAGATATTCAATATATAAATAAACAGCCTAACCTCTTGAAATTAGGAATTCGTTTACTAAAATCGTTTTAGCTTTGCTTAGGGAAGATGGAGTTATCTTGAGCGAAATCATTTAATAAAAATTGTATACCTCACGTATAAGACTACTAACAAATTATCAACTTTTGATTTGTTTTGGCCTAAGGCTAGCCACTTCGAATTCGAATATGGACTCAGAATTCCTTCGTCATCTCCGGTTTTCCAATTAACCCTAAACTAAACATGCGACATGTTCAAAAAGATTAGAAATTGCATAATAAATATCGCTTTGCTTAGTAGAGCTCATTGTCGATTGGAGTGAGTTAACAAAATACTGCTGCTTGCTGGTAGCGCAACCGGAGTTGGACTAATAATGGTTACTTTTTCGAAACGCGGCTGAACAGAAAATACCTCCGCATACTACTATGGTCTCTATAGACTTTTGGCTCTGCAGTTATCTATCCCTAAATTTGTTGCAGATGCACAGTTGAAAGGCCATGCACATTGACGATTTTTTAAAGTCACAAAAGTAAAAGCTCCCTCTGAATTTGCTCTGTAAAATTACACCTTTATTTGGATGTAAGTGAAGAAATAAATTATACGTACCAACTTTCAAAATTACGTTCATTTTGAAATTGTATCAAATATAATAAAATTGTACCTAATTTACCTTTTAATTGAAAAAGATTTAACAAAGGTACAAATGCTCCTACAAAATCTGCACTGGTGGAAAGTGAGCAAACTGTGGAACACCGCTCATCGTTTTTGGTTCTCTACTCCCATTTCTCAAGTTATTAAGGGCGACATCTAGCGGGTGACTAGCTGAGCAAAGAGGCGAACCGGAATCTTTAGCCGGAAGTGCTTATTCGTAAGTGATTAGAGTAAGGTTTAAAGCAACAGTTCTTTTCTATTACCTTTCTTTTAAACTTTATTTTACATATTCACAACTAAATAGTAGGCAAAAAATACATATGTATGTAGGTACATATGTATCGTGTATGGCACAGAATAGCACATTAAATTTCCAATCGTTTTAATTAATTTTAGATATGTATATGTATGTATATAGCTGACAAGCAGTTACATCCTGAAGAGCGCAGTCTCTGACTAGTTATCCAATCATTCCATATCGTATGTTTGCATGCGTATACATACAAATACATAGGATATACGCCGATTAGTCTTCCGTAACTATGAATGAATTCGAAATGCCTTCATAGGGGAAAATGCCGCCCAAGATATATTTATAGTTGCCAAAGTGCCGAATGCGGTATTCGCCGGGAAGAGTATTGGGGCCAATGGTCCAGTGTATGTGAATGTCACTGAAGCCGAGTATCAAATGAACGCGTTCCCAAATGAATCTATAGGAATGCATAAACATATTAAAATTTTAGATTTTAAATTAACTAAATACACTTGTGCCGCAAACACTTATGTGTGTAAATTTACTTTGTCTCCCAGCTGGCATCAGTATATGCGACCTTCCAACGTTCCTCGTTGATTTTTCGCTCTACAGCAAAGTACGTTTTTTCGTGGAAGAGATTATTGCGCGGATTGCCGGCAATGAAGGTGACTTTGACAGTTTCATTGATTTGGTATGCCTTTCGCGGTTGCAACTTAACATGTCCGAAGTCCTTGCCAATCGGGTGGCCGTCAAAAATAACGCCAGTGTTCATCGATAGCATACGATCATTCATATATGGGGGAGAGGGGCCGGGGACTAAGCGTTCGCCACGTATCATTGACTTGGTCAGTTGCTCGAAGACATCCATGTAGATAGTGTGCGTGTTCGGGCCGAAGATCGTGGACGCAGCTTCATATCGTTGTGCCTGAAAAATAGCGAAACATACATACATACATACATATGTATGTGTGTGCATATAATAGTGGGTTTAAAATGTTTTCTCTAACACTGCATGTGCATCACTCACCTGGTACTCCTCAGGCGTTGTGATGTAGCTGGAATAAATATTCGACAAACCTGCGATGATTACTTCAGTGTCCTTGCCACCTGTGGCCACAGCCACGGCGCTAATTTTATTGCGTAAACGTCGGCCTGCCATGGTAGTGAATTCGCCGGGTACCGCGGCGAAAATCAAATCACCAATTTTTAGCAGCTGGGCGGATACAATCTTAGGTTGCCACTCATACGGGAATGTAGCCTTGAGGCAAAAAATAAATGATGAAATTATTAAATTTTTGTTTTTTTCCCCAGGGGAACCTACCCTTCCAGTTGCAAGTAAAATTGGTTTAGGTGCGTGACAACTGATATCCTCTTGTGTGGGAGCGACTATGAAATCTCGAACAGCATTCCACATCGCGTTATCACTAACGGTGCCCTGTTCAAAACTAAATGAGCCGGGTCCATCTGTAGTGCCAGCAGCGAAACTGTAGCCCATCGCTGGCTGACAGCCCCGTATCCTATCCAGTTTCCTTTGCAGTGGATTGTAAGTGGTTCCATTATAGTTGGGCATGTCGATGAATTGGTGGATGAAAGATAATTCGCCAATTAATTCTCGACTTGTTGTCTCTTGACTGTTTTCGTTCAATAACCGCTAATAAAGTAAATATTTGTTTAAAATCGAACCTTATAGAAATTGCCGCAATAATGCTCACCAAAG